ACATCTGTCCCCTCTCCCGCTGAGACCGGGCCTGTTCCAGTCTCTATCGGGGATTTTCTGTCATCGCACTGCGGTGCATACTCATTGAAGCCTAGTCATGCGACTGACTGGCTGGCTTCAGTTCAGTGTTTCTGGTTTCTGTCCCTTTTGCTGCGGACATCTGTCCCCTCTCTTGCTGAGACTGGACCTGTTGTCCCAGTCTCGTTCGGGGATTTTCCGTCATCGCCCCGCGGTGCATACTCTCTCTGGCCGCTGTGCCCAGGCGCGGATCCACGAACCCATTTCTACCGGCCCGGCTATGGCAACCCCTTTGTGTAAAAACTAGATAAACTCTGTTTTTCTCAGATAAACTCTGTTTTTCTCAGATAAACTCTGTTTTTCTCAGATAAACTCAGTTTATCAGTTGATAAACTGAGTTTATCATTGATAAACACAGTTTTTCTGATAAACTGAGTTTATCTAGTTTTTACACAAAGGGGTTGCCATAGCCGGGCCGGTAGAAATGGGTTCGTGGATCCGCGCCTGGCTGTGCCGGTCTCGGGGAGTACGCTAGGACTTATGGGCTCTCTGGGAGAGCCTCGCGGTTTATAGTTGTAGGGATTCCACGAGAACCCTTTACAACTCTCGTTTGGAGCCCTGCTCCATGTGGTGTGAAGACCTCGGGGTCTCACCCGTAGACTTTGATAGGTGTCATAGCTGGATTTTGGTTAATTTGTTTGGTGAGGCAAAGTGGTCTCGTGGAACAGCGACCACCTAGTATTTGGAAGGTATCGGTTCAATACCCTAGCTAGTGCTTTTAGAGGGTAAAGTCCTTCCGCTTTTTGTGGTTACCGTTCGGCCCTCGCCGCCTCTCATGTGTGGTTTCCGGACGGCTCGGGGGTTATCTTCTGTTGAAGTTACTGCGTTCTTTTCTGCAGTAGCTGGCTATCCCGAAGGTTTTGGCACAGCCTCTTTTGAGCCTTTGTCTAAGGCCTCACTTGACGCTGAAAACTTTTTTCCTTATGGCAATAGTTTCTGGACAGCGGAGGGGTACGTTTCATGCGCTGTCTGCCTCCCCCGGCCATATCAGGTGGGGAGTTCGGTTGGTCCCACGACCTTCCTCCGGACCGATTGATGTTTTTCCTCAGTCCTCTTTCGGACTTCTCAGTCGCTCAGGACAAGGTCTGGTGCCCCATTAGGGCACTCATGTGGTTTTTAGTTAGGACTAAGGTTCTTAAATAGGACTAAGGTTCATCGAAGGATGTCCAGTTGTTCCTCATTTCGCAGGAGCTCCTTTCTTCTGCGTCTCGTGAATCCATCTCCAGATGGATAGTGGACACTATTCAGGCCGCTGGTCCTGAAGCCCTTTTCGCAGAGGGCAGGGCCAGTGCCCATAATTCCAGATGTAGTGGTACTTCCTGGGCATTGTTTTAACCTTTTTGAAGGCCGCGTTTTGGCGGTCTCCCAATTCCCGTACATCTTTTTATCTTCGGGGAAGTCACCTCTGGGGAGGTGTCGTGGTGTTGTTTGCAACTGCGTCCCTGCGGGCGGTTTTGGTTGCCTTTGTTGCCTTTGTTCCCCAGTAATCTCCTTCTTGTTCGGGACATGCCTCCCGGTCCATTTGTGTGCTGGTCTAGCAAATAATAGGTAGATACATTGATTTATTGTGGTAAATCAGAAAAATCAGAACTGATTTTATTATTTACTATATAAATCTATGTATCTACCTATGTCCCTCCCTCCGTCTCCTCTCCTTGCGGGCAACATGTCCGAATCTATGTCTTTGGAGGCCCGTGAAAGAGGATGAATGGCGGGCGTGCGATGCGCACGTGAAGGCGATGTATGGGGGTGGGCGCATGCGCGATTGTGACTTTTTAGAGTGTTCTCGAAGGTGGCGTAGTTTGGATAAACTAGCAAATAATAGGTAGATACATAGATTTATATAGTAAATAATAAAATCAGTTCTGATTTTTCTGATTTAGTTTATGTCCACATGACATGAGTTATTGAGATGTGCGCGCAGTGAGAAAACAATGTATCGAACTCAATAATGATTGTGTAGCGTGATTGTGCTTGTTACTGTATGTTGATCGTGATCGTGATTGTAGTTGAGATGGTGATTACGATTGTGACTGAGATGGTAATTGTGACTGTGATCACGATCGTGATTGTGATTCAGTGTGATGGTGATTCAGATTTTGATGTGATTGTGATTGAGCTGGTACTCATATTGTTCTTAACATGTCCAATACAGACTAAATATAATTTACACAAATATAAATGGCTTCAAAGAGATTACGAACATCGAATAAATTATCAAAAACAAAACAAAACAAAACATTAAAAATAAATCAATGTAGGTCTATAGAGTATTGATACCCCCCCCCCCCCACCACCACCATTATGGTAAGCCATTCCAATAAATACAACAGTAGTCTGTAAACACGCACTTTGCATGCACTTATATCATTGCATATTCACACAAAAACACTCTTGCTTAGTTCCATGCTAATTCTATATTGATGTGGCTAGGTTTTATCTACTTAGCACATGATCGTTCAGTTGCTAAATGGTGATGATTTAGTGGGTATATATATATACACCCATAGTGAGGACAAATAACATGTTTGTTGCTTACCAACCCATACAATTTGAAATGGATTTAGCATGGAACTAAGCTTGCGGGGTTCTATATAATCATACTGGGTATGCTACGTTTACACTATGTTCTCGTCGGCCACGGCAACCCCGTTTCGGGCCACCGTGGACGAAACGGGATTGTTGTGACAGAACGCGGGGGACCGTATGGGAGAACGTGACAGGCCATGATTGCCGTGGATACCGTGTCAGATTTTTAAACTATCAAAAATTTTGCCACGGCAGTCACGGTGCGGATGAGAAACCAAGTAGGCCGTAGAAAAATGGGGTGAACGTCCTTATAGGCCGTAACAAAACTTGGAGGTAGTCCGTAGTGGGACGGGAAGCCCGCACATTCCCCGGCACCTTACGGTCTTTTCAGGTTTTGTTACGTTCTGCCACGTTTAGTGCGCGTTTTGTCACGGTTGCTTCACGGTTGCTGCGCATGTTGTCCCGTTTTGCCACGTTTTGCCAAGGTTTGCCCCGGTTCTCACGGCAGGCCATGGTGGAAGGTAGCCGTTTTGTCGCGTTTAATCACCGCGCATCCCGGCGTCTGACGGTTTACGGGAGCGGCGCGTTGCGTTCTGACACGGCGCACACGGTCGGGAGGTCGTATATAAAAGACGGGCGCGGTAGGAGCTTCATTCGAGTCTGAGCAATCGAAGACACATTACTGCATCTACAATACGAATAAAGGAGGTCAAGCTATGCCACCGAAGAAGCCAAGACGTTCGAAGGCCCTCCGTCCTGCACCATCCCCACCACGACCAGTAGTAGAGGAGCAGGAACAGCCTGAAGATCCTCGCCGTTCACCCCCGCCAAATGATGAGGAGCATATGCTGCTGCTGCTGACCCGGTCCCTGAACTGGCACCTGAACCCGAGGCTTAGGAGGCTGGGCAGGCTGAGGCGCACCAGCTAGGAGGAGGGCAGCCCCCAGTGTCGTCACCACCTTACGGAGGATGAGAAGGAGCTCATCATTGACTTCCTCCATTGACTTCCTCCAGCAGCATCCTACGCTGTACTTTATTGCTTGGGAGGCCTTCTTTTATACCGTGGGCACAACCGTGCTCAAAAGCTGCCCGGCGTCCACGTTTCATCTGTAGAAAGCCTTGACAGAACGTGAAAAACGTGTCAGACCTTGATCAGAACGTGAGAAACGTGAGGGACCCCATCAGAACGTGACGGGCCGGGAGGGAATGTACTGGCATCTGCGGTAGACCGGGGCCGAACCGTAGTGCGCCATGGAGCCTCCGGGACTCAGCAGCCCCTTTCTCCGCACGGCCCGTCACGGATACCGTGAAAGACCGTGAGAAAACTTGACAAGACCTAACAAAACTTGAACACAGAGAAAAATATTGCCAAAATCCCACGGCGCACTACGTTTCGGGGAAACGGGGCTGCCGTGGCCGCCGGGAGCATAGTGTAAACGTAGCATAAGATTTACATGTCTAATTTGTCTGCAAAACGTGTGAAACTATATGCAAAGAAACGAGTTTGAATTCACGGAAGACGCATTACCTAATCGCTAATCGTCTCGCTCTAAATTGAATGAACATTTTACGAAAAAGAAACACGTTTTAATTTGAATGAAAATTAAATGTTTTTGAATGATCGTTTTAGGAATTTAAATGCTAAAAAACGAATTTGAACGAGCAACAACAGCAGCGGTGACAGAATCGGCGAAATTGAATGAACATAAAATACATTTGTGTGGCCAACTTACGAAAGTCACCGAGAAATCCCAATTATGTCGCATTCTATATTGAACAAATATTTTAATTTCGTCAATAGTTGCAGGAAAATAATTGTACATGTGCATGGTAAAGAGCCGGATATAACACTTTTATTTTGCCTTAACAGACACGGTATCACTTCCAACTATTTAAAATTGATGACAATTGCTTTTCTTTCGTCCTCTCGTCTTTCTTTGCTCTAACGACACCCATTTCCTTCGGGTTTTTCCTCTCTATATCTATTTGTCTATTTCCAGATCACTCCTTCTCTCTCTCTCTCTCTCTCTCTCTCTTCATCTCCCTTCTCTTGTCCTTACTCTACAATTCTGAGAAGAGGTTGATAAGGTTACATTAAAGACAGTAAGAATATTTTATTTAAATTGGAAACCATTAGTTTCGAAAAAGTATTGCAAACACAAATATGGAATTAAGACCTGTCGTCTATACTTGATAATAATATTTACTCGACGTTGGCTTCAGAGGCATCACAATCAAAGGTATACCAAACATGATTTACATTGGAAACCATTAGTTTCGAAAAAGTATTTGACAATACAAATATTTAAATCCGTCATGTAGTCGATACTTAATAATACTATTTACTCTATTCAACCTGTTCTGTCACATCACCAGATTGAGGAGCTAACACACATGGGAGCAGATCTGGGTTCTCATGCATCCTCTCATTACGCGATAGGTCTCTGCTCCATGCCAAATCTTCAATCACTGGATATTGACCGTGTGAAGCTGAGTAATGAGTTCTATTCGACGTTGGCTTCAGAGGCATCAAAATCAAAGGTATACCAAACATGATTTCTATTCAAAACGATTTTTGTTTTTGCAAATATTTATGCATTCTTCAAATTCCACATATAAGGTTACTGTTTTGTTCATATTAAAACAAAAGAAATTACACATTTTCATTAGTTACGACCACTCTCATATCAATATAAATAGTTTGGCTATGTTGACAGGGAAAAAGGACCTGTCAATAGAATGAACTTTGGTGTCATGATGAAATAAAAGCATATAAAAGTGTGTTTTAAAAGCACGTATTCTACAAATACTGTGTCGCATTCTATATTGAAATGTATTTGAATGTTGTCAATAGTCGCAGGAAATTAATTCGTCATGTTCATGGTAAAGAGACGGATATAACACTTTTATTTTGCTTCAACAGACACTGTTTCTCTTCCAAATATTTATAATTGATGGCATCTGTTTATCTTTCTTCAACTCGTCTTTCTTTTCACTTACCACTCCACTTGTCCTTTTGACCATTCTCTCTACATCTCTCTCTCTCTCTCTCTGCCTTTCAGTATATCTCTGTCTACGACCCGCTCACTCTCACCCCCCCCCCCCTCTCCCTCTCTCTCTCTCTCTTTCTCCCTTCTTTTCCCCTTGCTTTTAAGGTTCAACTAGAGGTTAATGGTGTTACATTAGTGACAATAGAAAATATGGAAATTAGACATGTCGTCTATACTTGGTAATACTATTCACTCTATTCAACCTGTCCTGTCACAACACCAGATTGAGAAGCTTACGCACGGGAACACAGATCTGGGTTCTCATGCATCCTCTCATTACGCGATAGGTCTCTGCTCCATGCCAAATCTTCAATCACTGGATATTGACCGTGTGAAGCTGAGTAATGAGTTCTATTCGACGTTGGCTTCAGAGGCATCAAAATCAAAGGTATACCAAACATGATTTCTGTTCAAAACGATTTTTGTTTTTGCAAATATTTATGCATTCTTCAAATTCCACATATAAGGTTACTGTTTTGTTCATATTAAAACAAAAGAAATTACACATTTTCATTAGTTACGACCACTCTCATATCAATATAAATAGTTTGGCTATGTTGACAGGGAAAAGGGACCTGTCAATAGAATGAACTTTTGTGTCATAATGAAATAAAAGCATATAAAAGTGTGTTTTAAAAGCACGTATTCTACAAATACTGTGTCGCATTCTATATTGAAAATGTATTTGAATGTTGTCAATAGTCGCATGAAATTAATTCTACATGTGCATGGTAAAGAGACGGACAAAACACTTTTATTTTGCTTCAACAGACACTGTTTCTCTTCCAAATATTTATAATTGATGGCATCTGTTTATCTTTCTTCAACTCGTCTTTCTTTTCACTTACCACTCCACTTGTCCTTTTGACCATTTTCTCTACATCTCTCTCTCTCTCTCTGCCTTTCAGTATATCTCTGTCTACGACCCGCTCACTCTCACCCCCCCTCTCCCTCTCTCTCTCTCTCTCTCTCTTTCTCCCTTCTTTTCCCCTTGCTTTTAAGGTCCAACTAGAGGTTAATGGTGTTACATTAGTGACAATAGAAAATATGGAAATTAGACATGTCGTCTATACTTGGTAATACTATTCACTCTATTCAACCTGTCCTGTCACATCACCAGATTGAGAAGCTTACGCACGGGAACACAGATCTGGGTTCTCATGCATCCTCTCATTACGCGATAGGTCTCTGCTCCATGCCAAATCTTCAATCACTGGATATTGACCGTGTGAAGCTGAGTAATGAGTTCTATTCGACGTTGGCTTCAGAGGCATCAAAATCAAAGGTATACCAAACATGATTTCTATTCAAAACGATTTTTGTTTTTGCAAATATTTATGCATTCTTCAAATTCCACATATAAGGTTACTGTTTTGTTCATATTAAAACAAAAGAAATTACACATTTTCATTAGTTACGACCACTCTCATATCAATATAAATAGTTTGGCTATGTTGACAGGGAAAGGGACCTGTCAATAGAATGAACTTTGGTGTCATAATGAAATAAAAGCATATCATAGTGTGTTTTAAAAGCACGTATTCTACAAATACTATGTCGCATTCTATATTGAAAATGTATTTGAATGTTGTCAATAGTCGCATGAAATTTATTCTACATGTGCATGGTAAAGAGACGGATATTACAGTTTTATTTTGCTTCAACAGACACTGTTTCTCTTCCAACTATTTATAATTGATGGCATCTGTTTATCTTTCTTCAACTCGTCTTTCTTTTCACCTACCACTCCACTTGTCCTTTGGGCCATTTTCTCTCCATCTCTCTCTCTCTCTCTGCCTTTCAGTATATCTCTGTCTACGAGCCGCTCACTCTCCCCCCCCCCCTCTCCCTCTCTCTCTCTCTCTTTCTCCCTTCTTTTCCCCTTGCTTTTAAGGTCCAACTAGAGGTTAACTCTTTATGCGCCACTTAAAAAACCCCCCTGTGCCACATTCTTTTAGGGTCACACATTTCGAGGGAATCTTTATTGACTCTGCTGAATCAAGAGGCTATAACTCTTCACTGGATGATCATGATGAAAAATATTGTGCAGCAAAGTTGTAGACCGGAAAACGTGCTTTTCGATGAACCGTCATTTGTTATATTTTGAATTATCATTTTTATAATAATCATAATTATATAATGTTTAATTTTTCTTATTTACGGCAGTTTTTTATCCCTCTAGAATTTCTTATTTAGCAATGATAAGACATCTTCAAATCGAATCTATTAGAAAGGTGGACTTCTTACCTTTCTTTACATACCTTGCTCAAGTATTCTAACAATTCAGAAGGTTAGTATTTAGGTTGTTGAAGAAAAGAAGTTCAATAGGGAGAGACTTGAAAGTACCCCGCTCAGCCACCCTTGACAATGGGCTAATCTGCCCATTGAAATCCCTATTACCCCAGGTTATTGTCAATGTCCGGTTTAGCGGGGCATGAAAAGGGACGTCGTGGGGATGTTTTTCTTTGTTGTGCCATGATAAGTCAATAAGAAATAAGAGAATGTTATTGATTTTGCCCACTGGTATGAGCATGTAAAAATGGTATAGGCATAATATATTATATGTGATATACATGACATAATCAGCATCTTATTGAAATGTCTCATTATGAATGTTCACCGCATCTGTTCTCTCACCTTCTTTACCCCTCAATAAAATTGATTTCAAGTACATTTATCACAGCCATAGATATACAAAGAAAGAATGAATCAATCTTAAAATATAAACTATATTGCATTGTTTTCCATTTACTTTATTGTGAGAGAGCTTATTATCAGAAATGATTGACGAGTGGAGTATGCAATGAATAAAATATGGAGAACGGACGTGAGAGACATTATGAGAGAGAAATAGTGATATGAAATGAAAGGACTTTACTGTGAATAAAGATTATAAGAGAAAGAGATAAAGATGACGGCAAGACAGGATACATATTGATACGAAAATAACAATAATAATGAGATAGAGATGACGGAAAGAAAGAGAGTAAACACTGATAGCATAAGAATGAATAAAGATAATAAGAGAAAGATATAGAGATGACGGCAAGACATAGGGTACATATAGATAGGAAAATGATAATAATAATAAGATAGAGATGACGGAAAGAAAGAGAGTAAACACTGATAGCATAAGAATGAATAAAGATAATAAGAGAAAGATATAGAGATGACGGCAAGACATAGGGTACATATAGATAGGAAAATGATAATAATAAAAAGATAGAGATGACGGAAAGAAAGAGAGTAAACACTGATAGCACAAGAATGAATAAAGATAATAAGAGAAATATATAAAGATGACGGCAAGACATAGGATACATATTGATAGGAAAATAATAATAATAATAAGATAGAGATGACGGCAAGAAAGAGAGTAAACACTGATAGCATAAGAATGAATAAAGATAATAAGAGAAAGATATACAGATGACGGCAAGACATAGGGTACATATAGATAGGAAAATGATAATAATAATAAGATAGAGATGACGGCAAGAAAGAGAGTAAACACTGATAGCATAAGAATGAATAAAGATAATAAGAGAAAGATATAGAGATGACGGCAAGACATAGGGTACATAATTATAGATAGGAAAATGATAATAATAATAAGATAGAGATGACGGAAAGAAAGAGAGTAAACACTGATAGCATAAGAATGAATAAAGATAATAAGAGAAAGATATAGAGATGACGGCAAGACATAGGGTACATATAGATAGGAAAATGATAATAATAATGAGATAGAGATGACGGCAAGAAAGAGAGTATTACACTCATAGCATAATAATGAATAAAGATAATAAGAAAAAGATATACAGATGACGGCAAGACATAGGGTACATATAGATAGGAAAATGATAATAATAATAAGATAGAGATGACGGAAAGAAAGAGAGTAAACACTGATAGCATAAGAATGAATAAAGATAATAAAAGAAAGATATAAAGATGACGGCAAGACAGGATACATCTTTCTTTCATTAGTTTTATTCATTCTTATTCTATCACTGTCTACTCTCTTTCTTGCTGTCATCTCTAGCTCTTTCATTAATTTTTATTCATTCTTATTCTATCAGTCTACTCTCTTTCTTGCTGTCATCTCTATCTCTTTCTTTCATTATTTTTATTCATTCTTATTCTATCACTGTCTACTCTCTTTCTTGCTGTCATCTCTATCTCCTTCTTTCATTTTTTTTATTCATTCTTATTCTATCAGTCTACTCTCTTTCTTGCTGTCATCTCTAGCTCTTTCATTAATTTTTATTCATTTTTATTCTATCAGTCTACTCTCAGGGAACACTTTTATCACTAGAGTCTTCGTCACTGCTCGATTCGTCGGAATCAGAGTCCATGCTCCATGCTTCCATAGTAACAAGATCTCGAGCCTCCTCTACACTAAACACACGTTGACGTTTTCCAGCAGGTGCCATCGTAACATCAGTAAAAAAAATCCAAAGAAAACCGCTAAATACACGGTAATTTCGAATGTAACACTATGAAGAAAAACAGTTTACCGGAAAGTGTGCGATGTATACAATGTAAACAATAGTAAACGCAACGCGTGGCTACACACTGCGAGCGGTATTATGAATGTCTAATTGACTCGTATACATCTGTGCAAAAATGCGAAGTTGGCACGCCTACGTCCGTGCAAATCGGCGAACAAAGCAAACAAAGAGTTAATGGTGTTACATTAGTGACAATAGAAAATATGTAAATTAGACATGTCGTCTATACTTGGTAATACTATTCACTCTATTCAACCTGTCTTGTCACATCACCAGATTGAGAAGCTAACGCACAGGCACGCAGATTTGGATTCTGCTGCATCCTCTCATTACGCGAGAGGTCTCTGCTCTTTGCCAAATCTTCGAACACTGGATATGAACGGTGTGGAGCTGAGTGATGAGTTCTACTCGACGATGGCCTATGAGGCATCAAAATCAAAGGTAAACCAAACATGATTTCTATTCAAAAGGATTTTTGTTTTGCAAATAATTTTGCATTGTTCAAATTCCACATACATTTTCATGAATTACGAGGACTCTCATATCAATAATGTAAATAGTTTGGCTATGCTGACAAGGAAAAAAAGACCTGTGAATAGAATGAGCTTTGGTGTCATAATGATATAAAAGCATATCATAGCGTGTTTTAAAGCACATATTCTACTAATAGTATTTCCCATTATATATTGATTTTTTAAATAATTTTGTCAATAGTCGCAGGAAATTAATTCTACATGTGCATGGTAAAAACACCGATATAACGCTTTTATTTTGTTTCAACAAACACTGTCTCTCTTTTCCAACTATTTATAATTGATGACAATTATTTTTCTTTCTTTATTTCGTCTTTCTTTGCTCTAACGACAACCATTTCCTTCGAGTTTTTTCCTCTCTATATCTATTTGTCTATCCCCAGGTCACTCTCACTTTCTATCCCTCTCTCTCTCTATTCTTCTTTCTTCTCTTGTCCTTACTCTAAAACTCTAAGAAGAGGTTGATAGTGTTACATTAAGGACAGTAAGAATATTTATTTTAGACATGTCGTCTATACTTCATAATACTATTCAATCTTTTCAACCTGTCCTGTCACATCACCAGATTGAGGATCTAGATCACTGTAACGTAGACCTGGGACCTCATGCATCCTCTCATTACGCAAGAGGTCTCTGCCTTATGCCAAATCTTCGGTCATTGTTTATGTACAATGTGAAGCTGAGTGATGAGTACTACTCGGCGATTGCCTCTGAGGCATCAAAATTCAAGGTATACCAAACATGATTTCTATTTAACAGGATTTTTTCTAAATAAATGTTTGCATTTTCCAATTCCACATATGAGATAACTGTTTGTTCATATTTTAAAAAGAGCAATAACTCATTATCATGAGTTACGAGGACTCTCATATCAATAATATAAATAGTTTGGCTTGGCTGACAAGGAAAAAAGGACCTGTCAATAGAATGTACTTTGGTGTCATAATGATATAAAAGCATATCAAAACGTGTTTTAAAAGCACTTATTCTACAAATAGTATTGCGCATTCTATATATTGATTTTTGTTGTGTGTGAATTTTGTCAATAGCCGCAGGAAATTGATTCTACATGTGCATGGTAAATAGACGGATATAACGCTTTTTTTTGTGCTTCATCAGACACTGTCTCTCTTTTCCAACTAGGCTATTCAAAATTGGTGACAATTGTTTTTCTTTCTTCAACTCGTCTTTCTTTGCTCTAACGACACCCATTTCCTTCGAGTTTTTTCCTCTCTATATCTATTTGTCTCTCTCTAGGTCACTCTCTCTCTCTCCCTCCTTCTCCTTCTCCCTCACCCTTCTCTTGTCCTTGCTTTGAAAGTCAGAGAAGAGGTTGCTAATGTTACATTAATGATAGTTAGAATAAATTATTTAGACATGTCGTCTACACTTGATAATACTTTTCACTCCATTCAACCTGTCACGTCACCAGATTGAGAAGCTAAGGCACTTTCGCGCAGATCTTGGTTCTCATGCATCCTCTCATTACGCGAGAGGTCTCTGCTTCATGCCATATCTTCGATCACTGGAACTGCATTGTGTGAAGCTGAGTGATGAGTTCTACTCGACGATGGCCTCTGAGGCATCAAAATCAAAGGTATACCAAACATAATTTCTATTCAAAACGATTTATTGTTTTTCCAAATAATTTTGCAATGTTCAAAAACTACATATGAGTTAACTGTTTTTTCATATTATTAAAAGAAAATTACATTTTCATGAGCTGCGAGGACTCTCATATAAATAATACAAATAGTTAAGCTATGCTGACAAGGACAACAAGACTGGTCAATAGAGTGAACTTTGGTGTCATAATGATATAAAAGCACATCAAAGTGTGTTTTAAAAGCAAGTATTCTACAAATAATATTTCGCATTCTATATTGCAAAATTATTTGAATTTCGTCAATAGCCGCAGGAAATTAATTCTACATGTGCATGGTAAAGAGACGGATATAACACTTTTATTTTGCTTCAACAGACACTGTCTCTCTTTTTCAACTATCCATAATTGATGACAATTTTTTTCTTTCTTCATCTCGTCTTTTTTTTTTCTGTAACAACACCCATTTCCCCCGGGTTTTTCTCTCCTTCTATATATGTCTCTGTCGCTTTCTCTGCCCGGTCTCTCTCTCTCTCTCCCTTCTCTTTTACTTGCTTTAAAAGTCTGAGTAGAGGTTCATGATGTTACATTAATGACAGTAAGAATATTTCAATCGGACATGACTTCTATACTTGATAATACTATTCACTCTATTCAACCTGTCCTGTCACATCACCAGATTGAGAAGCTAACGCACTGGCACGCAGATCTGGGTTCTGCTGCATCCTCTCATTACGCAAGAGGTCTCTGCTCCATGCCAAATCTTCGATCACTGGGTCTGCGCAGTGTGGAGCTGAGTGATGAGTTCTACTCGACGATGGCTTCTGAGGCATCAAAATCAAAGGTATACCAAACATAATTTCTATTCAAAACGATTTATTGTTTTTCCAAATAATTTTGCAATGTTCAAAAACTACATATGAGTTAAATGTTTTTCATATTATTAAAAGAAAATTACATTTTCATGAGCTGCGAGGACTCTCATATAAATAATACAAATAGTTAAGCTATGCTGACAAGGACAACAAGACTGGTCAATAGAGTGAACTTTGGTGTCATAATGATATAAAAGCACATCAAAGTGTGTTTCAAAAGCAAGTATTCTACAAATAATATTTCGCATTCTATATTGCAAAATTATTTGAATTTCGTCAATAGCCGCAGGAAATTAATTCTACATGTGCATGGTAAAGAGACGGATATAACACTTTTGCTTCAACAGACACTGTCTCTCTTTTTCAACTATCCATAATTGATGACAATTTTTTTCTTCCTTCATCTCGTCTTTTTTTTCTGTAACCACACCCATTTCCCCCGGGTTTTTCTCTCCTTCTATATATGTCTCTGTCGCTTTCTCTGCCCGGTCTCTCTCTCTCTCCCTTCTCTTTTCCTTGCTTTAAAAGTCTGAGTAGAGGTTCATGATGTTACATTAATGACAGTAAGAATATTTCAATCGGACATGACTTCTATACTCGATAATACTATTCAGTCTATTCAACCTGTCCTGTCACATCACCAGATTGAAGAGCTATCGCACCAGACCGCAGATCTGGGTTCTGCTGCATCCTCTAATTACGCAAGAGGTCTCTGCTCCATGCCATATCTTCGATCACTGGGTCTGCACAGTGTGGAGCTGAGTGATGAGTTCTACTCGACGATGGCTTCTGAGGCATCAAAATCAAAGGTGTACCAAATACGATTTGAATTGTAAACGATTAGTTTCGAAAAAGTGTTTCATTCTTCAAACTCAACATATAGGGTAGCTAAATTTTCACGATTGTTTAAAAAAAAAATTGTTTTCATTAGTTACGAGCGCGCTCATATTAATATGAAAAATAGTTTGGCCATGCTGACAAGGAAATAAATCCTGTGAAAAATTCTTTAAACAAAATATTCATGTGTTGTCAAAAATCTTACTGAGATTTATATTGGGTAATGTAAAAATGTTAGACTCTAATAGGCCTACTATGGATAACCAAACATCATACCTCAGTGTTTATGTCTTCGATTAATAGATAAAGGCAAATAATCTATACAAATTCTTCTTTTGTTTTAATTAACAAATATTCCTTATTTATTCCTCAACGTATACTTTGTAGCAGGAGATACACAATTCCTGTTACCATGAATATTTGGATTATAATGTTCTTTTCATTTACAACGCAATAATAATCGATTAAGTTTATATTAAACTTGATGTTATTTACTGATTTTATCCGTAGTCCACATGACCAAGTTCTCAGGTAACAACTATTGCTTAAGACTGTTCTCACAATTTTCTTGTAAAATATATCTGATATCAACAATTTAGCAAGCACTATGTCAACTCGGGTGCCTGTCCAGTGACGGATGTATCACATATCTGAAGCAATATGTATTCAAGCAAATGTCCTCTCGTATCTAGTGAATATAGAAGAATTAATGAAATGGGTAATTATCCACTTTGAAGGAAACGGCTGAGATAAGCCTACTGAAAATAAAGTGGAAAAAGTATAACATACTCTCTTGAAGATATCATGTTAATGTAATCATCCCACCGATTCAATACCTTAAGTATCTCTATTGCAATACATCATGTCATGCACATTGAACAGCTTTTTTGTTTATTATAACATGTTGATTCATTTGAACTATAGCAGATATAGAGACGAAATAATCAGACTTAGCGAATGGTAAAGTTACTAAGATACAAATTCATCCGATATTAGCTGTGATTTAAAAAAGTGTTTATGTTTATAGCATAGTGGATTTCACTTTGGTTTGAACTGATAAATTGTCTTGCACAGATCCAGACGCTAAGTATGGGGGAAGTTTTCATAACTCCATGTCGACTACACTCCATTCTCTCGCTACCACGCCTCCAGTCACTCAGCTTGACGGATATGAGACCAGTTGACATGGACAATGGAGAGACACTGGTATGTAGTTTTACTATTCCAAGATTAAAGTCAATATCCTCTTTTCGTTCTAAGCTCAAAAGAAAGGGGTTCAGAAAAGCTATACCGACTAATTATGAATGATAATAGGCCAAGAGCATTAGGTGAAAATAGGCTTAAACCTGGAAATTTTTGGTAACAAGCTGATTTTTTCAGGATAGCTCCAGGAATATGTCTAGAATAACATACTAAAAGTCCTCGTATATCTTCCTTGAGCGTTTTCCGTAATCCAAGATGGCGTCCAAAATGGCCGCCATTTCCTTATTTTCTTACAACTTTGGAACTAGATAACCCAAATACAAAATTTAAATGTCTAAATATATGTTTTTTAGCATAAGGAACTCAATAAAATACTTGTTGATCAATTTTGAAACACACAAGTAGCTATAAACCACTTTAGCCCTTCCCGAAATCCAAAATGGCGCCCAAAATTGCTGCCATTTCCTGTATTTTTTCTAACTGTGCAACTAGATAACCCAAATACCAAATTTAAATGTCTAAATATATGTTTTTCAGCATAAGAAACTCAACCAAATAGTTATTAACAAAGTTTGAAACACACAAGTAGCAGTAAAACCACTTGAGCCCTTCCCGAAATCCAAAATGGCACCCAAATGGCCATTATTTCCAAATTTATCTCATTGTAAGTAGATACGTAATGAATATAATCAAATGTCTAGACTAGAAAAGCACCATTGAAATACATATCAGTACAACAATCTTTTAATTGAAAAATACTTCTTATGCATAAAGTACACACACACCCACATACACATATGGCTGCTTCCATCATCCTCAACGATATCAGACTGACAGTGTGCAACCGTGAAGAGTACTCAACATTAGATGGAACTGAAAATGTAGACACATTAGTACCAAGGTCGCTAAAGCTTTTTTATACATAATGGCCCGAATTCACAAAGCAAGGTTTGAGCTCAGACCAAGCAATACCGACTAATTATGAATGATAAAGGAATTGCCGAAGGATAATGTATTTTGTCTTGAAATCAAGTTAAAACAACATACTACGTGCTGTTTAGTAAAACTATGGATAGTAAGCAAATAATTACCGGTGGTGAAGGTGATGGGACAAACTGTTACTTCCGAGAGAATCTGGATGCAGCTATCTCTCCGAAGCGAAGCTAAGGAAAGATAGCGTATACATTCAGATCGCCGAGGAAGTGATAGTTTGCCAGCGCCTGAAACCAACAGGTTATTATTTGCTTTATATTCCACATCGGAAACATTTCACTTCTTCCGTCATTTTAGAGCAACAAGTCATCAATTAACAGCTAGCAAACGGTGTACGATACGTACAGTGCATGCAGTATGGTGGACTGACCATAGTTTGCGCGTGACCAAAGTTCACCTTCTAACACTAAAAGCGCTTAAAGGTATTACAAAGTTTTGGTATGGGGTCATGAATTTGGTTCAAATTAACATATTGGAAGCATATGCGTTCCTACAATATACATTGATCGTTGTCGCGGTTGAAATCGAGTCTAAAGTTATGAAATTATAAATAAAAACTCTTTATGTTGTATAGCTCCCTCTCAAGGTCAAGATATTAATTTAGCTATGAAACAATGTTTCTGGACTACAATCAACCGATTTGCTATTCCCGTTTGGATATTATATATCCCAACTACATATTCTGAGATTTTCATGGTCGCAGCTACCATTGTATGGCCATAGGCGCTATTTGAAATTTATAAAATTTACCGGGAGCACCGGTAAATTTTCATATTCAATTTTTCTCGAAAACGGAAGTGTTTTAAGGGCTAATTTGTGCTTATAATACATCCACAGCGGCATCCAAATATATCAAAATTGTAATGATTCACTATCCACCAATTTTCGAAATATCCAAAACTTTGTATTACCTTTAAAGAGGAGAGCAATACTATCTTGTTGTTTGATTTTATTTTATTTTATTCGTCCACAATGTGGAAATATGCTTTCCACCAGCATTAATATAATACGAGAAACAGAGTTAAAAATATGAACATATGAACAATTAAGCAAACAATTTCAGAACAGAAAAGATCTCGTCATTTCACATAGATAATACAAAATAAGCCATCCAAAATTGTTAAACTTGATTTTTAGATGATTAGAAATATCTTTGAAATAGCTTTATGATAACAGTTTATAAATTCAAATAATTATGATCATTATTGCTATTGGTATTATTATTAATATTATTATTATTGTTATTATTATTATTATTATTATCTCTCAACGAATTGGTTGAACATGTGGATAGAGTTTGGTTTGTGCGTGGGACGTTTAATCGAATTCCAGAACGGTTGAAAGAATACTGGGTGTTGAGAGGGTGACTTTGATCTTTCATGATTTTGTTTGTTTTGGACATGAGTCTCTGTTCGAACAAACAGTTAATATGAGTCAAATCATGCCATATCACTCTCTGTGCCGCTCGCCGCACCCGGTCTAAGCGAGTCCGATTTGTCTGGGTCCCATTTCCCTAAAAGCAAATCACGTTGTATGCTAAAATGCTTTGTATTAATGACTGATAGAACAAAACCAGAATTGTTCTGTCAACGTGAATATTGTTCATCATTCTCGGAAAGTAGAGTCTTTTGTTTCCCTTTTACACAATGTTTGTGTGTTTTTAGTCCAATCTAGAGTGTTGGTAACTATGCTTTTTTTTTCCGAAAGTCAAACACCATTTCCTTTGTTTTAGATACGTTTAAGTGGAGGTAGTGCGCATCACACCACTCAATAAAAGCCTTCACCGTTGTGACATAGTCATTTACATTCTCATTAGTAAGATGTCCAGGGATTACCATATCATCAGCATATGTTATGATATTACAATTTTCATTGTCACTGATAATTTTACTAGTATACAGGGAGAAAAGGGCGGGGGATAAAACACATCCCTGCGGGGCACCTGTACTAATTACCTTGGTACAAGATTTAATCACTCCCAATCTTACTGCCTGAGGTCTTTCTAGCAAGAAATTGTGAATCCATCGAACAGTTTGGGGAGAAGCATTCATTTCCAAGAGCTTGGCAGCAAGAGGGTGAGGCATTATTGTGTTAAAAGCACTGGAGAAAGAGTGCCCTTACGAAACTCCCACCGACATCTAGGTGTTTATAAGCCCCATGAAGGAAACATAACACTGCATCGTCGACACCTCTGTTTTTGCGGTATGCAAACTGCAGTGGGCCGAGATGCTTATCGACCTGACTCATTAGCTTTTTCAAAACAATCTTTTCTAAGCACTCATGGCATTGCAAGTTAGGGATACAGGCCTAAAGTCTTTGTACTCGGTACATTTATTGCCTTTTGGTACAGGTATTATTGTTGAGGTTTTCCACAAAGTTGGTACGATGCCTAGATTTAACGTTGTTGTTGTTGTTGGGTTTTAATGTTGACCAATCTAAAACGATTATTTCTGCCATGCTCTTCTTTTTTTTTTAATTGTTCATCACTGATGATTAGATGGCGTTGTTTCTTTTCCTCTTCAGTGGGTATCATGTACTGTGCAACTTCCGTTTATTCGATGGTGCGGGCAATAATTGTAGGTGTCGACCATGAACAGGGTGCGAGTATTTACTTAATAATAGGGGTTAACTGTGCAGTGCTAAACTATACTTTCCCTTCCCTTCCTCTCCAAGAGAGTTAGTTATAACTCGTTAGCTATAATGATTGGTATCTACCTGTAGCTTTTATGAAAGCCAACAGAGTGTGCAGATGATCTTCATTCCCCAGTAAATTCTTTAAAGTTGATATTCTAAGACAATCCCA